ATCGTTCTGGTGGTGCTTACCACTTTCTTTCTTTTGAAAGAGGATCTTACCTGGTTCCCATTACACAAGCCTCACAAACTTTATCTTCCTCGAACTTAATGTTAGGCAGCCCTATCACCAAGTCCTTGGAGACTAGTTTGTCGAGTTGACTTAGACTGGCATATCCAAGTCTCTTGTGCCAAAGGAGGGGATCATTATCCAACACACTTAAGCAAGGTAGTTCATTATCTGAAAGTGTGGACAGATCTACAACATATATGTTGTTCACTCTTTTTCCCTGCAAAACTATCTTGTCAGTTGTAAGATTAATCACAAAGCATTTTGTAGAGGTGAATGCTACCATGTTACCACTATTACACAATTGTGATACACTTATTAGATTATACTTCAGTCCATCTATCAAGTAGACATTCCCAATGGAGTGAGAATCAGTCTTACCTACCTTTCCAACCCCCATGATCTAACCTTTCTTCCTATTTCCAAATGAGACATTACCTCATTTAAGGTCCTTAAATGAAAGGAAATGGTTCTTGTTTCCTGTTATATGCTTTGAGTAGCCACTATCCATGTACTATATTTGGATGCTCCCCTTCATTTGGACCTGCAAAAGGAAATCAGGGGTTAGTCTTTGGAACCCAAACTAGTTTGGGTCCCTTTCTATAGGCAAACGGATGAATCAAATTCATTTTAGTCTAACTTGGTAGCCTATTATTTCCTTGAACAAATTCTTTATTCTTTTGACTCGCCTTTTCTTTTGCAGTGTATTCACTGTTTTATCACAGTGTGTGAAAATCTTATTCTCAAAAAGTGTGAGGTATTTGCTTTTGGGATCCCACTTAGGTGCCAGGTTCCCAAAGCCAAGTCCTCTTCTATTGCTACTATAGTGTTTGTGTGGCCATGAAAGTGCATCGGAGGACATGTTCCATTTACAAGTTATGTTTAGCTCATGCTTGACCTTCCTTAGATCCTCCTTTAGGATTCTTACCTGCTCATCCCTTTTATACAACTCATCTTCCATTTTTCCTACATTTTCTTCTAGAGTGAGTTGTGTGTGATCAGTTGTCTTTTTACCCGTTCCTAATTTCAGTTTTAGATTTTTAGATCTAAGCTCTAGGACAGTTGAGTCAAGTGCATGAACCTGGTTCTTTAACACATTATTTTCACTTACAGTTTCAATAACCCTAAGTTCCAAGTTTTTGCACTTAGCGTTCAAAATCACACATTCTTTAGACAACTGTTCCTTTTCATTGTTTACATCCTCAGATTCATCAATTAGTTCTAGAAATAACTCAGACAACCTTTTTTTAGGCAACAACGCAATTTTGTCTTTGAGATGAATTAAACTTACCTCAGTTTCTTCATCAGATTCCCCGATGACCATAAGTGCTTGTTCATCCTCATCATCGTCTGAGCTTTCATCTGAGCTTTCTTCTCAAGCAGCGACCATAGCCTTGGTTGATCCTTTGTTTTTGCTTTTCTTGGGTTGAACCTATTCCTTCTTCCTGTTCCTTCCTTCAGCTATTTCCTTCTTCCATTAAATTTCCCATAAAGAACAATTCTTGATGTGGTGATCAGTCTTTCTACACTTGTAGAAGCCATCATTGGTTTGCTTCTCGGGTGCTTTTAACTTGCTATAGTTTCCAATTCTTGAAGAGTCGTTTCCTCTCCTCAGGTAGTTCTTTAAGTCCTTGGTGATCATAGCCATTTCATCATCTTCTAGATCAAAACCTTCAGTGATTCTAAGTGCCAAGCTCCTTTCCTTCTTAGGTACATCCGTTTTCATGGTTTGTCTCCTAAGTTCATAGGTAGTGAGATTTCCAATTAATTCATCTAGTGGGAGAGTGAAAATATTCTTTGATTCCTGAATAGCAGTGATTTTGCTCTCCCAAGTGATAGGCAAAAACCTAGTTAGTATCTTATCGACTCTATCTTCTTTAGGAATAATCCTTCCAAGAGACTTTAGTTCATTTGTCAGTAGTGAACCTTGTGTACATCTCTTGAATGGTTTCTTCTTCCTTCATAGAAAAGTTCTCATATTGAGAATACAGTAGAGTTCCTCTGGATCTCTTCACCTGAGATGTTGCTTCATGACCCACTTGCAGTGTGTCCCAAATTTGCTTAGTAGTGGTACAACTTTGGATTTTGGTATACTCATCTGGACCAAGTTCACAAACAAGTCATTTCTTGGCTTTAGCATTCTTCTCCCATTTTGTCAAGTCCTAAGCAGTGCAATCCGCTCTTATCCCATAGCTCATAGTCATCTCCTATAATGTGATCTCTCATCCTGTTTTTCCACCAAGAGTAGTACAGGCCGTTAAAGAGTGGCGTCCTAGCAGTGGATTGCCCTTCCCAGTTTCCAGGTGGTGCACTCATTTTGATCTTCTCCTAAGGTGTAAGCCTCTTCAAGGAGAACCCGCTCTGATACCAATTGACGTTTTATACTTCAATACCATACAAGAGGGGTTGATTTGTGTGGTGTCCAATTTTTGCGTGCACTGATTATATAAAGGCCTAGTTCTTCTAAGTGTTCATTATACTACTGTTTCGGAAATAGTAAATGCGGAAAGTAAAGAACACAAGTATTTTTATGTGGAATACACCCGGCTCAAAAGGTGAAAAAACTACTACCTACTACTCAGGAGTTCTTTCCCCAACACTTCACTAAATCACTGAGCCAAAACATCATTTACAAAACTCTTTGTAAACCTAAGAATTACCTCTAATCCTGTTGTGGCAACCAACCTCTAACTGTTGCGACAACTTCAAGTTAACTCTAACTTGAACACTCAGAGTACCTAATATAATTGCCTCTAGATAAAGCTGAAAGGTACAATTTGAAAAGCCCTACTACAATTGAACTAGAATAAAAGACAGACACTTGGAACTAGTTTTTCTATCTGGTTCATGTAGCTTCCGGTTCGCACACTTGAATCACACAAGAATTGTTTTTAAAATGCCTTGCTATTTTACTCTCAACTCATATTTAACTTCAGCGTTTGTGCGTGCTTGTAGAATGAGAGCATCCTACAATATATAGAGTTAGTAGAATAAGAAATAACTAGAGTTCTAATGCTACTCTTTCTTGGTAGAATAGTTCTAGTTATCTTCAACTTCTAATTTCTCTCTTATCTTGAATAAAGTTCTCTTCGAGTAAGGAGTCCTTCTCTTTATCATTTATGCAACCTTTTTGATCAGGAGATATTAGATATAACAAATTATGCTTATCTCCTTCACATGCATCCCTTATGCTCGAATCTGCCCGCGTCTGTGTCCATGCTCGAGTTCCTTTGTCAAACATCAAAACAAGTTTCACTTGGCTCAATGGTTTGAATATTTATCTCTTCTCTATCCCAACACTGCTCCCACTTCCATATCACTAGCATCGCACATGATCTTAAAGGGTTCGCTCCAGTCAGGAATTACCATTATGGGGGCACTCACTAGATTTTCCTTGATCAACTTGAATGCTCTGAGGCACTTTACATCAAACATAAACTTCACAACTTTGGCAAGTAATGTTGTTAAGGGATTGATGATGCTGGAGAAATTCTTGGTGAACCTTCTATAAATCCCACATGCCCTAGAAAGCTTCTGGCGCTCTTCACTGAAGTTGGTGGTGGGAGCTTAGCGATCACATCTACCTTAGCCCTATTAACCCCGATACCTTCAGCTGTGACTTTGTGGCCCAAGACTATCCTCTCCTTAACCATGAAGTGACACTTTTCCCAGTTGAGTACTAGGTGAGTGTCTTTACATCATTTCAGTACAAGTTTTAGATTCCTCAAACAATCCTTAAAGTCATCTCCAAAGAGAGTAAAATCATTCATGAACACCTGTAGACACTTCCCATTCAAATCTGAAAAAATTGACATCATGCACCTTTGAAAAGTAGCTAGTGCAAAGTAAAGTCCAAAAGGCATTCTCCGGAATGCAAAGATTCCGGAAGGGAAGGTAAATGTGGTTTCCTCAACATCTTCAGGGGCAATAGATATTTGATTGTACCCTGAATAACCATCTAAAAAGCAGTAACATCCGCGCCCTGCCATCTTCTCCAACATATGATCAATGAAGGGAAGAGAAAAGTGATCCTTCCTCAATGCATCATTCAGCATTCAGTGTACATCCTCCAACCAATGACAATTCTGGTAGGAATTAGCTCGTTGTACTCATTTTTCACCACCGTCGTGCTCCTTTTTTTCGGCACAACCTGTACGAGGCTGATCTATTGGCTATCGGAGATGGAAAATATTATACCAGTATCCAGCAGTTTGAGTATCTATTTCTGTACCACTTCCTCTAGGTTTTTATTCAATTTGTGTTGAGGCTGTACTACCCGTTTTCTCCCTTCTTCCAAAAAATATTATGCATACAGATTGCAAGGCTAATTTCCCAAATGTTGACTATGCTCCAACCAACTGCTTTTTTATGCTTCCACTGCAATTCCACCAGCATGTGTTCCTGTTCACCTGTCAAATCAGCAGAAACAATCATAGGAAAAGTGTTAGTCTCCAAAAAGGCATATTTTAAATGTGTTGGGAGTACTTTCAATTCCAGCTTTGGCTTGAGCTGTTCTTTCTCAAATTCCTCTTCATCTATCAATTGGTTTTCATCTTCCAATACCTCAGCTTCTTTCTTGATCTCAGGGTCTTCATCCTCTGCTGTACTCGATTGAGTAATGCATCTTTCCAATGAATCACCTACAAGCTTGTCAAGCTTGTTTTGTTCAGCTAACTTTCTACCACACCCAGTTTGACACATGCATAAGCAGATGCCTTATCACACGGGTATTTCATCATTCTCTTCATTTGAAACACCATTTTGTCATTTCCCACTCATAGCATGATTTGACCCTCATATATGTCACAAATAGTCCGGCCAATGCAAATAAATAGTCTCCCCAAGATTAGAGATACCTCCTTATTTACTTCCATGTCTACTATAATGAAATCTACCGGGAAGACAAACTTGTCCACCCTCACCAAAATATCCTCAATTATGCCCTATGGTATAATAGTGGTTTGATCAGCCAGTTGCAAAGATACTGGCACATATTTGATCACTCCTAGTTCTCCTTCCAATTTCTTGAAAACTGACAATGGCATGGAGTTAATGGATGCACCTGAGTCGCACAAAGCCTTATCAAAATTCACATTCCCCAACGAGCAGGGTATAGTGAAGCTTCCAGGATTCCCACATTTTTGAGGAATTTTATTCTGCAGGATGGCACTACAGTGTGCATTAAGTTTGACCACTTTAGTTTCCTCGAGCTTCCTTTTACTTGACATGATTTCCTTCAGAAATTTGGCATAGACAGGCATCTGGGTGAGGACCTCAGTGAACGGGATGTTCACATAAATCTATTTCAGCATCTCTAAGAATTTCCCAAAGCATCTATCTAATTTCTCCCACTTCATCTTCTGAGGGAAGTGTAACACTAGCATGTTCTTGATTTCTTCAACTTTACTGTTTGACTTCTGCTTATCATCCTCCTTCTCACTAATGTTCTCCGTAACCAAAGACTCACCAATTTTTCTGATCTTCCGTTATTTTGGCTGATTTGATCACACTTTCAACTCTTGGTTTTGTAATAGGATTTGCTAATGTTTTTCCACTCCTGAGAGACACGACCTTGACCGTCTCTTTTGGATTCTTCTCAGTGTCAGAAGGCAGAGCCCTAGGAGCCCTTTATGATAATAATAATGCAATATGCCGCATTTGTCTTTCTAAATTCCGGATGACTGTTCCCTGTTCTCTGATGGTTGTGCCCTGAGTCTCAAGCTTCTCATCTGATTTGGTTATGAACGCCTTCATTAAATCTTCCAAACTTGAGTTGTTGGGTGGCAGAGGCTGGTACTGTTGACTTTGTTGGTTTTGGAAGCTAGGAGGTCCTTGCACATGTGCTCTAGGATTTTGCTGCTACCATGAGTTCAAGCTACCACTTGAAGAACTCCATGAGAAACCCATATGTCTCTGTCCCACAGAGTTGAAATTGTTACCTCCTTGGTAGTTGCCTCTGTTGAAATTTCCTAATGCCTTAACTTCTTCTTCTGCAGCGGATGTTTGACACTCATGAGTCAGGTGTCCCATTACACAAATGTCACATCCCAACTTTGGTTGATATTGCACCTAGGTTATTGTCAATTGCTTGATGTCCTTAGCCATAGATGCAATCTGGGCATGCATTGCTACAGAAGATTCTACTTGGTGCAGCCCCGCTGATTTTCTTCGATCATCTTGGTCATCAGACCATTGTGCTGCATCTTCAAATAGTTCATTCAGGAATATGACAATCTCTTCTGGAGTTTTCTTCATTAGAGAGCCTGCAACCGCACTATTCAGCAATCTCCTTGATGAAGGAGTTAACCAATCCCAAAAATCCTGGAATTGCATCCTTTACTTCATTCTGTTATGAGGGAACCTCCGCGACAGCTCCTTAAACCTTTCCCATGCCTCAAACACTATCTCCTCTTTTTCTTGGCTGAAATTGTGAATCTCCTTCCTTATCCTTCTAGTCTTGGAAGTAAAGAAATATTTTTCTAAAAACTTGGTAGTCATCTCTTCCCACGTACAGATTGACCCTGTGGGTAAACTCCTTAACCACTGCTTTGCATCATCCTTAAGTGAGAAAGGGAATGCTCTGAGGTAGATAGCATCATGTGATGCTCCATTATAGCGGAATGTGTTCATGATTTCATTGAAGTCCATCAGATGGTTATGGGGATCTTCATTGGGTTTGCTCCTAAAAATGTAGTTATTCTGAATGGTCTGGATGACTCCCTGCTTGAGTTCAAAATTGTCAGCATTAATGGGTGGGGGCCTCAAACTAGATTGTCGTTGGTTGTAGACCAGTCTGGCATAATCTCATAGAGACCTCCCAAGCCTGGGAGCTGCGTTTTCAAACTTATCTTCAACCAGGGGTCGATTAAGATTGAATCTTCGACCCTCTTCAACCATTTCCTCAGCAGCTCTAAGGGCTGCTTCAGCTGCTAATCGTGCAGCCTGTTGTTGAGATGCCTCTCTTGCAGCTAAGTCTACTTCCTTTTCGTTGTTCACCATTGTATTTTGAGTCGAAGTCTGACACAAAAAGGATCCACTCGATTCTTTCTCCCCTCTCAACTGCCGTAGGTGCTTGTCTAATTCTGGATTGTATGGCACCAATTACTTGGAGGAGGATCGAGTCATACACCATTGAACTTAACATGTTGCCTGTACACATATACGAAGAGCGTAAAAGAAAAAAAAAATTATTCCTGAATTAGCACCGAAAATTATTTTTAAACACTATTAATCGTCAATTCCCAGCAATGACACCAAAATTTGACGAGCGCAAAACAGGTGTATAAAACTTAGGCTCGCTAGTCAAATATAGTTTAGTATTAAATCGTCTCTACAAAGATTGGGTTAAATAATGCTCAAAGAAATCTTCAGCTTAACACTATTCAGGAAAATAAACCTTTGATTTTGAGTTATTAACTAAGTAAGAGTAAAAACTAAGATTCTCAATTGTGAATGAATAATGGAAATTGAGTGACTAAGTAGTAATGATTAAATATCAATATGAGGAATAAGGGCTTGACAAGATACGTGATCAACTATTATTCGGGATAACTCTGGGTTAGTTCAACAGATGATTAAGTTATATTAAGTATTCAAATTCTTCTTCCGGATGAATTAGAGTTCCGTTAAAACAACCTAATGATAAGTGCTATGAAAATATGCAAGAATTTTGATGATGTCCAAATTTACTATCAAAAAGTAAATGGACGCGGTCGCATGCAATATAATTTACCCAACTATGAGTCGGGGTCGAATCCTACAAAGAATAATATGTAGGTGATTAGGCGTGTAAGAGAATTATCACTTATTATGCTAAGCCAAACACTTAGAAATGGTTGAGAAAATATTTATAACTAACTGCGAAAGTGTAAACTAACCTAGAAAGCAAGTAAAATGATCAATGGCTACAAGTATGGATGCACGAGGAATTAAACTCAAGTAACAATCCAATGTATTTTACGATTTTACAAATATGAGCGAGTTTATGTTAATTAGCCTCAAGTAATAATTCTATATTAGCTTCTTCCAAAGACTAACAAGACTTCCTAATTGAATTATCCCTAAAACTATTAAGAGATTAAGCACATCCGAATATGGCTACAAGTAGTTCAATCTTATCCCTAGGTAGAATCTATAAAGTGAGGGTTAAAGCCTCAAGTTCTTATTAATTAATCTTTTACAACCCCAAATTATCATTCTTAAAATTAATTCGAAGTAAATGGGCGAGTCCTAGGGTTAGCTAATCCCTTTAGAAACATTAAAGAACAAGAATAATTAAAGAAATAATAACTCACTTCATAATAAATAAAAATCGTTCAATACATAAGCGCAACAAGATATTTAATCCACACTTTAAATTTGAATATTCCCATAAACAAGATTCAAGTGTTGGAAAAAATACTACACACTTAGATATACAATACAAAGCAAGAAAATGAAGAAATGAACATAAATGGGTAAGAAATTCTCAACCAAAAGTTTCAAATCTTCAAGACCCAAGTGTGTGTACAAGAACCCTTGCTCCAAAACTTGTGTTCTCTTCTCAAGATATGTCCAAAGCTGCCAAATATATTTTACAAATGAGCTATGTCGTGTATTAAAGGGTTTGGGGCCAAAAAATATGAAATTACATAAGTACCCAGAACTGAAGCGCGATCTTCGCATTTGCGAACTATGACTTTCCTGTTAACTATCACATTTGCAATAAAGACTTCGCATTTGCGAAGGTTGACTGTCTGGTTTGACTTCGCATTTGCGAAGGTTGACTGTCTGGTTTGACTTCGCATTTGCGACCCTTTTTCGCATTTGCGAACACTGTTTGACTGGGTTGACTTCACATTTGCAATTTCTTAATCGCAATTGCGATTGCTGCTATCTTCACATTTCCCACATTTATGTCACAATTGCGACATCTGAGGCCATTTTCCAGATTTTCTTCTTTTCAACTTCTTTTTGACTCGTTTTCACTTGGTTTCTTCATGATCACTTCTAAATCACATAGAACCTATAAAATAGAAGTAAACAACATTAAACACACGATTTTATCAATCAAACATAGCACAAAATCTAAGCTTAAAGACGAGATAAGTTGGTAAAATACCAACTTATCAAACCCCCAAACTTAAACTATTGCTTGTCCTCAAGCAATGAAAGCGACAAAATCCCCTTTCAAGTATTTAACTCAATAGTGCATCAATATCATGCCAAGTCAAAAAGGTCTACTGTAAGCACAAACACATGACTTCGATTGGTACCAACAATTAATCCAAAGCATATGAAATACCAAAACAAACTCAAGTGCTCAAACACTACGTAACTCAAAGTAGCAATCAAGTCATGACACTAAAGCTTTAATATTTGCCTCTCTATCACAATTAACTTCCCTCGTTCATTCCTCCCAATTGAAAATGTGATAAAATTTACAACTCAAATCTCATGTGCCCTCACACTTAAGAGAGAATCCCACACTCATAAATTGTAATTCAAAACATAAATGGGATATCAAATGGAAAGAAATAACCCTCTCTCACAAAAATGTTCAAATGCACACAAGTAGTACCATAGACTTGCCTTTCATGTATTTCTCCACTAATGTAGACAAACTTGGTTCAAAATTAATTAGGACTTAAAGGGTTGTAGTTTAGGCTTTTGGTTAAGGTAGGGCACAATTTTGGTTAGAGTGTCTCAAAATCTCCCTAAGCACTACAATTTTTCAACAATCAAAGTACACTTCCTTCAAGAAGTTTTTCACCCTTTCTTCATTTTTTATTTCATCACCTAGTCTTCCATTTATTCACAATTTCTTATTTTTCCTTCTTTTTCTCAAATATTACTCTCTCTCTCTCTCTCTCTCTCTCTCTCTCTCTCTCTCTCTCTCTCTTTTAATTACTTTTCACCTTTTAAGCAACTTTCACATCACAACTTTTCCATCCTTCACCCCCAAACTTAGGCTTTTAGCCTATGTTTATACTTTCAAAGTACTTAGGGAGGTAGGGTGCCAAAAGATAAATCAATAAATAATGAAGGGTTAAAGTTTGTAACATGGTTGCCAAAGAAAAAGTTTAAAGGCTCAAAAAGGGTTGAATAGGAAAAATATACAAGGGTGGGAAATTTAAGGCACAATAGTGGTCCAAAGAAGGCCTAACATCATTTTTCAGCCCAAGTTAGTCTAGGATTTTGCCTTGAAGCACATTCTGGGCAAGTTCTAGACTACAAATAATGCAAAAGAACTCACAATAAATCTCACCACACATGGCACATT